AAAAGAAACTTCAAAAGAAATGAATTAAATAAATACGCTAAAGACCCAAAAATGAAATGGAAAATAATTGATAAAATAACTAATGGAAATATTCAGAAAGTACAGCCTATTAATCTACTTAAAACAGAAAATACATCAGAAGCAGCTCTAGACAAAATTAATAACTATTTTGTTAATGTTGCAAAAGAGCTATCTGATATAATTACATTTGAAGGCAACTCAAGTACTCCAAAATGTAAACCAGTATACACACCTAGTAACTCGATGGTTTTGTTAGATACAAGAGAGCAAGAGGTTGAATCTACACTAATGAGTTTGAGATCAGATAGTGCAGTAGGTTGGGATGGTATTTCCTCAAAATTATTAAAAAATAACAAAAACATTATTGTTCCACCTTTAACACGTATCTTGAACTTGTGTATTAAAACAGGTACTTTTCAGGACGTATTTAAAATTTCAGTAATTCATCCTAATTACAAGGGAGGAAACAGAGAATACGTTAATAATTACCGCCCGATTTCTGTACTACCTTCCTTATCCAAAATCTTTGAATTTTTTTTTTAACAAAAGACTAATATTGTATTTAGAGAAAAATAATATCTTATCCAACAATCAATATGGTTTTAGAGCTGCTAGATCAACAGCTGATGCAGTTTCTGATCTAACTGAATTTGTAGTTAGTCAAATAGATAGTAAATTTAAATGTATTGGAGTGTTCTTGGATTTGGCAAAGGCCTTCGACACAGTTTCAGTTCCGATTTTGCTGAGTAAAATGGAAAAAGTCGGTATCAGAGGGATGGCAATTGCTTTATTCAAGGACTACTTAAAAAATAGGATCCAGAGATGGATCCATTGATGGATGTTTTAGTAATAATGCTCCTATTAACTATGGTGTACCTCAGGGTAGTGTACTCGGGCCAACTTTATTTTTAATTTATTTTAACGATTTATGTAACCTAAAATTAGGTAGGTGCCAAATTTTTACTTACGCTGATGACACTGCATTAATCTTCTATGGAAAAAGTTGGGACGAAGTTAGGATTCATGCTGAATTAGGAATGCAATCAACGTTACAATGGCTCAATCGAAACCCTCTCACTTTGAATATCTCTAAAACAAAACTTATGTTGTTCGCAAATAATAAACGAGCGCTAAATACTGAAAATTCATTTAAAATAAAAATACACACCTGCAAAAACAAAAGCTCAATTCAATGCAACTGCACATCTTTAGACCGAAATGACACAGTAAAATACTTAGGCGTAGTGTTGGATGAAAATCTGACATGGTGCCCTCATATTTATCAGTTAGCAGGGAAAACAAGAAGCTTGGTATATATATTCAAAAAACTAAGACACGTGGCAGACTATTCTCTACTTAAGACTGTTTACTTATCATTGGCACAGTCTATCTTGTCGTACTGTATTACCTCATGGGGTGGAGCCCGTAAAACTCATCTCATAAAATTAGAAAGAGCGCAGCGTATATTGCTCAAAGTAATGACATTTAAACCATTTAGCTATTCTACAGATAAACTATATTCAGAATGTGACGTTTTGACAGACAATTGTATATAAAAGACACTGTTATATTCCAACATGAAAAACTTTCATATAATCACGAATTAACAACCAATCGCCGGAAAGATAAGGTCTGTCCTACTTGCCATTTTAAAACATATTTTATAACTAAATTTCAATGCTACTTAGGTCCTTTGCTTTACAATAAAATAAATAAAATACTACAAATCTACTCGCTTAACAAATATCAATGTAAAAAACTACTATTATCTTGTTAAAAACTCTAAATACAGAAGAAACTGAAAATTTCTTGGTCACTTTAAAATAACATTACATTAGATTAACTATCTACTTAAACTTACTAAACGATAAAAGTACTTTATCTATAATAATTAAAAATTATATCACTTATATAGCTATTTATAAAACTATATTAAATTAAGTCAAAATGTAATTAAAAAAAAAACCTTTGCAAAAACCATGAATTAAATAATTATACAATATGTATTAACTGTTCACTGTACATTGCATAACTTTTTGTTAAATACTTGTAGAATTACTAAAATTATATATCATATGTCTTTGCAATACTTCATTGTAACCTATCACCAAAAGAAATAGTTCTCTGACTTGTGATAACAATAATCATTTATTGCATTATAAATTAAGAAATTAAAAATGTTCCTATAAATAGTAGTCTAACCTTTCATACGCATAATAAGTTAGTGTGACGGTAATCGCAAAAAAGTGATAATGTATTTACGAATTTGTAACGTAATACATAGATTAGGTGAAACATAATATGCCGTATGCTTTTATAATTGTAAATAATGGTGCCTTTGGAAGTGACTAGTGTCTATGATACAGGCTCGGCCTAGTTTAGACGCTAGTGTATAAAATTGTATAGATAAGTTATAACTCATACCATTTGTTCAAATGTCTTAAAGATAAATAATGTAATCCTTACTTTGTGTCAATAAAAATTATTATTAATTATTAATAATAATTAATTAAGGGTCTCCGGTTCTCTACACTCACCATACGAAACACACCAGCATACTTTACGCTGGTATTTTTATGGATATTTGGAAATTTTGCCTATCAGTTATATACTGTTATATTTTACAAATACATATTTTCGAGGATTGCTTCTATTCCACTTACACAAAACACCATATTATTTTCCAATCGGTAAAAATAGTCACCCAGTATATGTTTTATCGTTTAAATAATGGTTTGAGGTGGATTTTGGTATGTAAAGGTGATGTGATTTTGGGTATTAAGTGTCTGTGCATGTGAACTATTATAGTCAACCAAATCTAAGAAATACCTTTTGACGTTTCACATTAATCATTCAGCAATAACTTTGCACAGACGTACTCACACGATTTAAAATAACCTTTTACGTAAATCCGAAGAATTATAACGTTATCTATATTTTATTACAACGTGTATAGTTTTTTATCATTAATTTAAATTTGAATCTTTCAAACAAAGTAAAATATTAAAAAATAACCAGTATCAACTTTTTTGTACTTGACGTCGTTTCAATGATATGTCGCTATGTACATTACCGTTGTGTTTGAATGATTAAAATTAATTGTTATGGAAATAATCGGCAAAATATTCCAATAATCTGTAAAAATATTCAAATAATCGAATCATTAATTTTTTAATGTATTATTTGTTTAATTTAATTTTTATTTTTAAAATTCCTTAATTACATTAATCATGAATAAAACAAGTATATTTTAAAAAATAGGCAGTTCACCGATGAAGCTTCGAAAAAAGCAATGAAAAGAAAAATAAATATTTTAAAACACGCTTACAACTTAGTTTTATTTAATACCTTTCCATAAATATGTATGCATCATGAAAATAAACCAAAATTCAGGTAATTTTCAAATTAAATACCAGAATTTCGCTTTGTTTTCATGATACATGGCATAAAATAAAATGAAATAAAATCATGAGTTTATCATCGGATTTGAAGTCTGGCGCGAAAATTAGTTCACGGGTCAAAAACTGGCGCGCTAGTGTCGCAAGTTGTTGGCATTTTTTTTGTATGAAGTTTTCGTTCTTCCCGTCAGGGTAAATGTGTTCTGTGGAAGAGAAAACGACGAAACAAGTGCTTCAACCCAGCGGACTATCTACAAAAAAAAATATGGGCTTTGAAATCGATGGTCCATATTGGAAATATTAACCAATTAGTCAAATACAGTCCACTTAGCTCTCCATCCACTACAATACCTATCGATGATAATCGTTAAAAGCAGTGTTCCTTTTCGGGCTTACTTTACGTACTAATTTCTAATTTTATAACCGGGTTTCCTTCAGTAACCCTAAATGTAGTGACGTATTTTTTTGTCTCTTTCAGCGACACGCTATGCCGGTGTCTATAGGATTCTCTGTCTACGATATGGAGTGTAGAAGTAAGGAGTACAGACTGTGTATTAAAAAGTGTCCATAGAAAACAGTTAAATAAGGGTAGCGCCACTATAACTACAGGGTAAATTTTAAAGAACGTACCGAAAAATATTAGTGGGATAGACGACTTTTTCGAGGTTATATTTACTAAATAAAATTATTTTAGATTTTAGAGCTACTGAGCAGTTTAGCAGCACATTTAAACCGTCGACAACTGTTAAGTTCATTTTATCCCAGTAGCTACTCCAGCGATATTGTGGAGAGTTTTTGAACTATTATTTACTGCTTACAGATGGCCACTTTTTCAACTATTCTACTATGGGAGTTGGTACTCCTTACTTCTACACTCCATAGACAGAGATTAGGATTCTCTGTCTACGATATATATACCTACTAAATCTATGGTGGTCACGCTATTATTATTTTTTTCTTTGGTTATCACTCACGTAACTCACATCACAGATAACTATATACTAGTCGTAGACTAGTATATAGTGATCTGTGTAGTAGTCAGAGAACTCACATTACCAGGAGTTTTGGCGGGAACTTGGCCGTAGACGGATTGTCGCTCCTGTTTTATCGCTTAAATAATGGTTTGAAGTGGAATTTGATTCGTAAAAATGATGCGATTTTGTGAATTAAGTGTCCGCGCGTGTGAAATATTAGAGAAAACGACGAAACAAGTGTTTTGATGTCGATATAAACCTCAAGTTATTTTGATCGCTTGATGAACAACATAGCTACTAAGCCACTCAAGGCTGTCGTCATCAACTGTCCGCTGGTTTGAGCTGTCAGCAAATCTCTCAAGGGCTTCGCAATGTGACGCATCAGCATATTGTGAAGAATAATAATATAAAAAGGAAGATTCTGAAAAAAATAATATGCTCAGAAGGGCTAGAACCCAGAGCTAAAGCCACTAAATAAAAAAAACTCACATTACCATGTGGCTTTGACGTTTGTATGCGCAAATGTTTTTTTCCGCTTGATAAAATGCATAAAATATTATTTACAGTTCATATTCATTAGCAATAACGTGAATCTGTTGATTATTTAATGTGTGTGCCAACGGTAATTTATTAATATAGTAAAACATTAAGGTAGATAGTGCTTTTAATTATGATTTAGTTTATATCTTTATAAATTTTTGAAATAAGTTTCTTAGGACTACTCTTTCCTTTTCAGAAAGTTGGGATGGCTTCTAAGTCTGGATTTACGTCGACTCTGACTGAACTGACGTCTGTTGATCCTGACTCAGTACAATTCCTTATGTTCAATGATGAAGATGTAAAAAAATTAAGTGTAATCAAGATAACCAACTTAGTTTCATTCGATGCAATGGGAAATGCTACAAAAGGAGGCCTTTATGACTCCGCGTTAGGCCCCATAAGAGATAGGAATGATAATTGTGCTACATGCTATAACTCATTACTGCACTGTCCGGGTCATTTTGGACATATTGAACTTCCACTTGTTGTTGTAAATCCATTGTTTACGAAAACTATTTATACTCTGTTTCGTATCAGCTGCTTAAAATGCTTTAAAATCCAGATGGATGATAAAATGAAATCAATTTTAACACTGCAGTTACAACTTATTGATGCAGGGCATGTGACAGCTGCTTTGGATTTAGAACAATTTATTGGTGATATTAAAAATTACAATAGTGAAAGCTCTCCTGAAAAGCCTAATAAAGTCATAAGAAGATGTCAAAAATTGCTCAAAAAAAAAGACTTGATTGTTGAAACTTTCCACAGCAAAAATACTGATAAACTGCGAGCCAAAATCATTGGTAACTATTTTAGAGCTATGAATGTTTCAAAAACTTGTCTATATTGCAAAAGTAAACTGATTAAAGTTACAACCTCTGATAATAAAATCATGTACAACATGACCTCCGAAAATAGTAAGGGGATAAAAATATTAATGCCAGATGAAATAAAACGTTATTGCAGTTCAATCACACAAAACGATGAAGATCTTTTAGCACACTGTATTCCAGTTTTGAAAAATACACATTTAAAACCAAAGACTAATATCTTTTTCATGCAAGTGGTACCAGTTCTGCCACCGTGTGTTAGACCTTGTAATGTTTTACATGGTGAATTAATTGAACACCCTCAAACAAATGTTTACAAAAGTATATTACAGGCTTCATACAGTGCTAGAGCTGTGTTACAAGTACTTTCATCATCAGATCAACAGAAAGCAATTGATAGCCTTGAGTCTAATCCTAGAAAAGCTTATGAGAGTGTTATAGGAAAATCGGCCCCTGAAAAACTACACACAATCTGGCAAGAATTACAGAAACAAATAAATCACCTTCTCAGTTGTGAGGGCCTGGGTGCAACCAGTCAAGGACTGAAACAAATTTTGGAGAAAAAAACAGGAGTCATTAGAATGCACATGATGGGAAAAAGAGTGAATTTTGCAGCTCGATCAGTTATTACTCCTGATCCAAATGTTGATATTGATGAAATAGGTATACCCGATGCCTTTGCTACAAAACTAACTTATCCTGTACCAGTCACTGAATGGAATGTAGACGAACTAAGGAAAATGGTCATTAATGGCCCCAATAAACATCCAGGAGCCGAAAAAATAGAAGTAAAAAATGGCAGAGTCATAAGAATACCACCTGATTCAATTGAAAAGAGAAAGAGCCTTGCCAAAAGACTTTTGACACCTGATGAATATAAGACGTCTGATTTAAAAATAGTTCATAGACATCTTGTCAATGGTGATGCGCTAATTTTAAATCGTCAGCCAACTCTCCACAAACCCAGTATGATGGCACACAGAGCTAGAATATTAAAAGGTGAAAAAACTCTTAGGTTGCATTATGCTAACTGTAAATCTTACAATGCTGATTTTGATGGTGATGAAATGAATGCACATTTCCCACAGAATGAAATAGCTAGAAGTGAAGCATACAATATAATGTCCGTAAGGCAGCAGTATCTTGTGCCAAAAGATGGTACGCCACTTAGTGGATTAATTCAAGATCATGTCATATCAGGAGTAAAAATGTCTATAAGAGGTGCATTTTTCACAAAGTCAGACTACCAACAACTAGTTTTTCAAGCCTTATCAAGCCACAAAGGTGAAATTAAACTATTACCGCCTACTATTTTGAAACCAGTTATGTTGTGGTCGGGCAAACAAATACTATCTACAATTATTATCAACAGTATACCTAAAGGAAAACCTTACCTCACATTGACAGGAAAGGCAAAAATTAGTTCAAAGGCTTGGCAGAAAGAAGTTCCTAGACCATGGTGTGCTGGTGGAACTCCATTTCAAGATCCAAGTACTATGACCGAAGCTGAAGTTATAATTCGTAAAGGTGAACTTCTGAGTGGAGTATTGGATAAAACGCATTACGGGGCTACACCTTATGGCTTAGTGCATTGTATGTATGAACTGTATGGAGGTGACAGTTCATGTGCAGTTTTGAGTTCATTTTCAAAAGTTTTTACTTTTTATCTTCAATGGATAGGGTTTACACTTGGTGTTAAAGATATCTTAGTTACTGAAGCGGCTGATAAAAAGCGAAATGAATTCATTTGCCTGGTTCGACAAGTCGGGAGAGTTGCAGCTGCCAAAGCAACGGAGCTTCCTGCAGATGTTGACGAAAACAAACTTAAAGAAACTATTGGTGAAATGCTTATTAAAGATCCCAAATTTAGGGCTAATTTAGACAGGCAATACAAAAGTGCTTTGGATTCATACACAAACAAAATAAATACGGTTTGCTTATCGGAAGGCTTATTAGAAAAGTTTCCATATAATAATCTTCAACTGATGGTACAATCTGGTGCTAAAGGATCAACTGTTAATACTATGCAAATTTCATGCCTACTTGGTCAAATAGAATTGGAAGGCAAGCGTCCTCCTTTAATGATATCTGGACGGTCTCTACCTAGTTTTTTGCCATATGATATCACTCCAAGGGCTGGTGGATTTATTGATGGCAGGTTTATGACGGGTATTCAACCTCAAGAATTTTTCTTTCATTGTATGGCTGGTCGTGAGGGTCTTATTGACACAGCTGTAAAAACTAGTAGATCTGGTTACTTACAGAGGTGTCTGATAAAACACTTAGAGGGATTGAGTGTAGCATATGATTATACTGTTAGGGATGCAGATGGCAGCGTTATACAAGTGGCTTATGGTGAGGATGGTCTTGACGTTTTGAAATGCCAATTTCTCAAGAAAAACCAGCTAGAGTTTTTTGATATCAATTCAAACGCTGTTGTCACGAAGTCCACAGTTAACAAGCTTAAGGAAGGTGAAAACCTCAAGATGGTCATAAAATCCCAAAAATCGCTAAAGAAATGGAAGAAAAAATATGGAAATCCATTTGATAAGGTTCGTACAAGTGCTTTTGCCCAATTTTCAAAATTGGCAAAAAAAGAAATAATTCTTAATGAGAAACCAACGGATCAAACAAGAGATCCGTTTTATTGGGAGTTAGAGAAAATGTGGCGCTCACTAGATGAAGAACAAAAGCAAGCCTATATACGAAAGAAATGTCCTGATCCTATACCAAGTAAATTTTCACCGGAATATAAATTTGGTGTGATAAACGAGCAATTAGATGGCTTGATACAAAACTACCTGAAAAACAGAGAAGATGGCATTTACAAAGAATATACAGAAAAAGACAAGTTTGTAGACATTATGAATGCCAAATACTTAGCATCAATGGCGGCACCTGGTGAACCTGTAGGACTGTTGGCTGCTCAGTCTATTGGTGAACCTTCAACCCAGATGACATTGAATACTTTCCACTTTGCTGGAAGAGGTGACATGAATGTGACTCTAGGTATTCCTCGATTGAGAGAAATTTTAATGACAGCATCTGCGAAGCTTAAAACTCCCAACATGGATATACCATTCCGTAGAGATCTGTCTAATTTAAATAAAAAAGCGGAAAGGCTTCGGCAAAAATTGAACAGAGTTACCGTAGCAGACGTCTTAGAAAAAATTGACGTGGAGTGTGAAATAGTTACACATCCGCAGCGGCAATTAAAAACTACGATGCGCTTTTCGTTTTTACCAAACTCTCAATACAAAACTCAATACGCAGTAAAACCGCCGCAGATTATCAAACATATGCAGAACAAATTCTTTACTGAAATGTTTACAACAATTCGAAAACAAGCCAGAACCACTTGTGGCGTAGTTTGGTCAGCGGACAAAGAAAGGAAAAAACGAACAGCAGCAAATGACGATGAGGAAGAAGAAGGGGAAGAAATTGTCCCAGAAGCAAAAGGAACGGTCGATAAAGACCTAGATGATGAAAGTTCTGATGAAGAGGGACCTAATGACGACGACGATAACACAGATGTAAGTGTTAACAAGTTATTAAAATTGGCTATTTGTTTTACTTTCTTTTGAATATTTTTTTGCGAAAATTCATCATTAAAATAGATTTGTAAACATGGAAACATGAAGTGCAGACGTTTGGTGCAGTGCGCTTGCACATCATGATGCTTTTTTTTTATAGAATGGGGGGTGAGAAACGAGCAAACAGTCCACATGATGGTAAGTGGATACTGTGGATCATAAACACCCACATTTATCCTCAATTAAGAATCAAAATTTTATGGCTCCGTGACACAGTGGCTTAGCAATAAGTTGCAGCTTTAAGGGCCGTGGTTTCAAATCCCGCACGGAACAAATATTTGTATGGCCTAAAAAATATTGTTCCGGGTCTGGATGTTTGTCCTTGTGAAATTTATGTTTGTAAATCCACGATACATAAGAAAATCCTTGTGTGGAGGATCCTTGAGGACTAAGATGAAATACCTCATATCCTTTAAAAAGGGTGTTCGGTTCTCTACACTCACCATACGAAACATACTCATTAAATTGCTATTTTACACTGGTATTCTGTGAGGGCGTAGTTCTTCCCTGGTCGAGCCGACCAATTCTTGCTACAAGCATAATGTAGCTACAGCATGGTTTTCCATCATTAATCTGATTTGGGTCACATGCATTTTGATCTTTCAGATTTTTGTGTGATTTACCCATTTGTCTAACAATGATCAAATTTCGAATGAATTGAAACAAATTTGACTTTCGTTCAACTGACTGCTCACTTAAGTACAGCAATTAAAGATTTTGTATTTTCTAAATACTTTACGCTAAATGCTTGTAATAGTTATTATATCAAACACTCAGCATTTAATAAAACTGCATTCGTTTACGCCATAACGCAAAATTTATTAGGATACTACTGATATGAACATAAAATCATGAAAGAGCCATTTAACATATTTTACCTTACTCTCGTATATATTATCTCTAAATTATTTATACAAATCTGTAAACTTGTATATCACACATACACTCAATAATAAAATTTTGAGTAAGAGCCTACAATACGGCCCATTACAGACTTTTCATTTCATGGACGATGATAATATAATTTAGGCTGTGACTTAGGCTGTGAGCCGTACCATGCTCAGAAGTGACAACACATCCGTAACTTTCTTTGTTTGAAGCTGCAGGTGTCCATGGGATGCAGTAACCAATCTCCATTAGATGGACTGTAAGTCCGTGGAAGTTACTATGCCGATTCAAATAACAGCATAATCTGCATTTGTAAAAAAGCTATTAATTATCTACTTAGTTAATTTCCTTGATACTGCTTTCTAACGTTCCTCCGATTTCCTATAAGCTAACATCAGGCATTGGGAGATAAATTCAGGCCAGTGTTTTTATGCTTGTGCGTTGTTGCGATTCGCGTGTGTATAGATCCAAATGTTTAGAAGTTGCCGCTTTGTTCGAAAATCGGCCTCGGGGTTATCAATTAAGAAAAGCGTCACACATCCTATTCAAGTCCGGCTATTTAGAATAGTTCTATATTTCTAGGTAAAAATAAGAAAGAAGAGAGCCGAAGAACAGGAGTATGAAGATCCGGAATCAGAAGAAGAAGAAAAATCAGAAGATGAAGCGGAACCTGAAGTGGAACAAACTAAATTAATTGAGGACGAAGTTTTAGAAGTAACCCAAGATGAAATAGATGCAGAAGACAGTAGAGTCATGAACAATGTCGTAGGCACTTTACAGAATGCCACGAATTATGCATTTGACACTAAATCTTATAAATGGTGCGAGCTAACTGTACTTTTCCCCATTAGTTTCTTAAGGGTGGATCTTTCCCAAGCCCTTCGTGATGCAGCATTGAAATCTGTTATACACGAAGTAAAGAATATCAAACGTGCAATTACTAATAAAGAAAAAGATGTGCTCTATCTTAAAACTGAAGGTATAAATATTGTACAAATGTTTAAATATGATAATGTTTTAGATTTAAACAAATTATATAGTAATGATATTCATGCTATAGCTAACACTTACGGTATAGAAGCTGCTAATAAGGTAATAATAAAGGAAATTCAAAATGTTTTTAATGTTTATGGTATTACAGTAGATCCAAGGCACTTAACTCTAGTAGCAGACTATATGACGTATAATGGCATATTCGAACCAATGAGTCGAAAAGGTATGGAGTCATCCACCTCACCACTTCAGCAGATGTCTTTTGAGTCTTCATTAATATTCCTGAAAGAAGCTGTTCTTAATTCTAAGAAGGATAATATACGTTCGGCCTCAAGTTGTCTCATGTTAGGACAACCCTGCAGAAGTGGAACTGGTGCTTTTAGCTTGCAACACAATAGTGCACCTGTGCATTAATTATGTATTTTAATAATTGTTATTTGCCCAATGTATATAATTTGAAATTTCATTTAATATTACAATTACAAGCCTACTTATACATGCTTATTATCTGTAACAAAGACATCTTGAAGTGAATCACAAATCACTATAATTCAATTAATAATTAATCACTATAATTAGAAATTATAAATCAATCCGTAATCAATTGATATGGTCAATCAAGAAATGTGTATATTGTCGATTGATCTTTCTAAAACCAATGATACTATACTAACAGTCAAAATTACGTTGTACCGTAACCCGATTGTTACTTAGATGGTTTTCAAATTATAAACATTTGCCATTATTGCTATTGTATATGATTTGGTAAAATCAAACACATTATAATATTTTAAAATAATTCCTTTTATTTTGCAGACATTTTAAAATAAAGCTTATTATATAAAAACAATTTTGTCTATTTATTTAAAAAAATTACAGAGCACTTTCGAAACCGGTGATGTGTTTGACACACCATCTCGAAGTTTTTGTACTTCAGACAACAATACAGTTTTGATATCGTAAATGGCAATATTTTACATTTAGAGAAAATTCTTAAGTAACTATAACAAATATACACATATATGTTTATGTTGTTGCGTAGTAGTATATATATAAATAAAATATAAACATGAACTGTATATGAATTTCAAAACTTGGTAAGGCCTTTTAATTTTTAGTTGACTGAATCCTGACGACATATACAAATAATAAAACATATATGTAGAAGATTCAAATGTCAAAGATACTCTAATTTCAACAAAGGAAATAATATATCAAAGATTTTGCGATACAAAATATAGTAATTTACCTGAAACCCCTACCGCATTAGTTTATCGAGCACAATGTTTGTTCTATTTTTTTAAACTCTATTTTAAGTAGGTATAATGAAATATCAATAAATTGTCCAATTTTTTGTGGTATATCTTAGAGACCGCCTTGCTCTGCTGGCGACTTCAGGCTGTAATAATAAATTGATAAACAAAAATATCCTGTATGGTTATAATTTATTTGATTTAAACAGTTGAAAAATAGGCAACATGATGAAAAAAAGTATGTTTATTTTTATTTTTGTGGCTTTATAAATTACTGAGGTATTAAGTGTGTGTGGTGGGTGTGGGTGTAAACTTTTAGAAACGATTTTTGTACTGATTAAAATTATGTAGGTACCCGCGCGGCGGACACTTCATTCGAGTGCATTTAAGTTTTGCGCGTACTACAATACCACACTGTGTACCGAACTAATGCGATAAAGTCGTAGGATTACTTTTAAGTGTTGAAATAATTTGAAAAATAATATTATTGAAATTATAACTAATAACATAACCGGAACTTAATATGTAATCATTTTTATTTATACCATATTTGAAATATGAATTATCGCTACGAAACTAAATCACATCAGCTCCAGGACTATGGCTTTTTATTTTTTAATATTTACGAAATCCATATATAATTTACACCTTTTCATCGATCTTCTTTTATCCATGAACAATGTAAAATTACAACTAAGTTCAATTTTTATCGTTTCTAGGGGAAAAAGTCGAACTTAATTGTCGCCAGAATCAATTTCGGCTTTTAACGGTTTCTTCATAAAAATTCAGTTTAAGAATGAAGATCTAAATGCTTGTCACAGTCAAAGTTCATTTATCATTCCTGCACAGTATTCTCTATTGACATAATAATATAAAATATATATAATAATTCTGAATACTATCGGAAACTATGAGCTACATAGGACATACTTTAGTACCCTAACACTCTAAATAACACAATATAAAATGAAATATACTGGTGATTTGTTAGTTTTATGTTGTTGCAAAAATATATATTTTTCAAAAATAAAATGAAAAAAAAAATTACAGCACAAAATGTATGGTCAAAAAAAATTAGAAGAAGAGAACATAAAGAGTTATTTTTGTATGTTCTAACTTTGCAGCTCACCTACCGAATATTATGGCACAGTTTAAAGAGAGTGAGATTAAACTGTGATTATGGCATTAAAAGAAAATGAAGTGGCGCCAATTTCATTAAATATATTTTCTAAGGGTATGTTCCAATATACACCGTGACCACTGTAAGGTGTGACGTCAATTCAGTAAACTGTGAAGCCATTCCTTTTTAGTTTGCTATACTGGTTACTGTTTAAAACAGAACGCAGTCCAGTATACTGTTTTATCCTGTTTTCAAATGAAAATATTTATCATGTACGTACACGTTTTCTGTTCAAGAAAAAAAATTAAATATAAATGTTGTCGGTTTTAATATTTTATGTCCGAGTTTATTTGATAATTTTAATTAATAATAATAATAATCATTCGTGGAAGGTGTTCTATCTCTAGGCGCTGTTATGTTTTTTGATTACGTGATCAAAGTACTGAGAGCACCTTACCTCGAAAGTGCCAGTGCTCACAGTACAAAAATGGCGACGATTTATGACGTCATATATTTCTCTACGCGGTACTGCGGTAGTATAATGGCAGTCCATAACGGAACGAATTTTTTACCAGTGAGTGCACTAAGCTGTGATCGCGGTCTATATCGGAACACGACCTAAATACTGACTGCAAAATGTGTTTAATTATCTCTTCCTGGAGCTTTTGTAAAAATTGAATCAATCTGCTTTTTTTTAATTTCTATACATCAGTCTAATTCATTGAAGCCTAGCCAAAAAAGTATTATAAGCCTGTAGTAGGTATAGAATTCTAACTTATTCGAGTTAATGTAGAATAATGTGTTTCATTTTAAAAAAGAATCAGTTTTAATACATATAATTTAATGCGAGGATATTTTTGCCAGACTGAAATTCGATTTTTCCTTATAAAACCTTACAAAAAACGAACCGGCATTTATTGACAAGGTAAAAGTCAGGTTAATTTTACAAGAAAATATTTTATCTGAGGAAAAATCAGATAGTCGAAATATAATAGTCACTGGCTGGGACGGTAACGTTATTTTTTATTATAAAATCTTGGACCCAACGTTATTTACACCTTTCTCGTATCCTAATTTAATACTTGCAGCTAATCAAAATAACATAAACAATACTAGAATGGTAGGTACTTATATATACTTTTAATAAATAATTAGCAAGGTTAACAATTTTTGCGATACGGGCTTCGATCTGTTACTCTACAAGTGGTTATCACAGCCTTGTTAATGTACATCTATGTATTTCGTAAAGGAGATGCATAGATATGTTCCTGCAGACTGCATTTCAATTCATAAACATTAAAGATTTTTTATATTTGTCACTATTGCGGGAGTAGGTACCTAAAATAAATTCGATAAAAGATTGAAATGTAGAGAAGTTTATTTAGGTAACGATCAACAAACAGTACGTTTTTTATAAAATCGTATATAGTTAAGAAATCATATTTATATTTCATTGATTATTACAGTCTTATTTAATTTTGAAACCCGTACCTATCGAACCGAACGCTCAAAGCTAACTTATCACAATAGAAATATCGAGAATATAATGTTTTATACAATATTTAAAAATCGAATCGTCTTCACCAAAGACAATCAATTCCAGTAAACCTACCCTTAAAAACGTAAAGATTTAATTTCAAACGGCTATTTGTCAACGCTATTTGTTGAGTAGATTTGAGTTTATTTGGGCAGTTTTGCAGTATTCGATTGTAATTCCATTTCCTCTTCCATATAACATGCAAGTTAAGAGTTAGTTCACCGATCGTTCAATAGTTTGTTATTGTGCTGTTTCCGCTTCGTTCTGATTGTTTACTGCTTTTCTCTGGACTTTCTCTGCTTTTTTCGCGGCCGCCTTCTTCGCTAACGCTTCGTCTTCTGCCGGGTTGTCCCATTCTTGTCTACGGCCTGAGCCGAATATGTTGTAGATCGTTCCACAGACAATGTAAACACCGCCCGCGATGTAAAACACTATCCTCCATTGCGCTTGCGTCGGCTGCAAAAGGTCATATGTATAATATACAATTATATATCAAATTAAAAGAAAATAAGTTTGATTACTTTTGAGATGGAGACATAACCATCACGACGGAACGATATTAAGTGATAAGGATTTACCCCCTTATTCATAAACATTTTTAAACGCTTGATTAGTTTAATAGTGTTTTGTCTCATTCTGACATTTGCGAGACACATGTTGCTAGAAAGTGACAAAAAACTATTTAACTAATCAAGTGTTTAAAAATGTTTATGAATAAGGGGGTTAATGGTAAAGATGCGTTCCAATCTTAGTTATCAGAAGTGGCAATACGATACAATACAATACAAAACTCTTTATTGTAAACCAACAAAACATAAATATAACAAATAATGAACTAACAATGAGGGAAAATTAAAAGGCGGTCTTATTGCTACATAGCAATCTCTTCCAGACAACCCAGAAGAGGAAATTAATAAAAATAAGATTAACGGGTAGTGTGCACTAAATTAGACAAAAAAAAACAACTTATATACTATAAAATGACAACATTCTTAAGGTATATAGTGACCATAACTAAAAGGAGCAAGAGAGAGGAGTTAGAGACTAGAAATAGTGTTAATTTGTTTTGTTACATTTAAACACAATGCATCTGCATATTGATTCTTAATCGAGGACAGACGAGAGAACTATTCGTTTGTCACTCTACTTCTATATATAAAAAAAAAACACATAAAATTACACTTTGATTATGACCCATACACAATTCCTACAGCTCACAAAAAGTCCACTGTTAAACATAGACTACCCGTATGGATTGCATCATAGACCGGATTTTTGCCATAGTAACCACGCTTGAAGCGAGTTGACAACCGCAGTTTCTTTATTTTTAGTTGTCAATAGGAAGGCGCTGCTACCCATCACCTGGTTTGTTTCCCTTTGTCACCTCTTACGACAGCCACGGGAACATAAAGATATACCGCCACTACACGTTCAGATAGCAATATTTGTCATAGTCAGAATCCTGTGTCATAAAATACTATAATACATGCATAATAGAACGGGGCCATAATAGCCACTAACATGTCAATTCACACCTATAAATGTCAACACAATCAATCATTTCCAATTTTCGTGTCAAGCGTCGCTGCATGCAAATTATTTAAAAAATGGCAAATTGTGCAATAATTACGTGTCGAGAGAACAGTGGGAAATGGAATTTAAATAAAGAAGACATATGCTACAACCAGTAAGTTGAAACTATTTATATTTTGTGGTTATTACAAACAAAAATAAGGAAATATTGATGTGTCAAAATAATTAATCAAAAGTCTAAAATGTTAGCTCAGTCTGTCACTACAGCGAATCGGGTTTGTAGTAGTTATAATACGACGTAATTGCTCGTATATGTGCTCCCGGCGACACCAATCCTCGTACAAAATAAGGTTGACAGCCATTCTATTGTGTATTATAGTATTCTATGGTGTGATTAATATAAGCAATAATTTAAGATATATTCTACTCTACTACAGCATATCAGACGGTCCTAAGCTCGTAAAACTATGAAGGAAAGATCGAAATCACAAAAATAATAATCTGAAACGAAAAGTTTGCGGTTCCGGCGGGAGTGCATAATTTTAAGATTTTAAGTGTCATGCGTTACAAAACGAACAAATGCAGCGGGTTGTCTTTAGTACCGGAACATTCAATAACGCTTTTGCATTGTGGCTAGTAATTATGTCGTAAAGAAAGTGGACCTAACTAGCCGTTCTGTAATCAGGCTAGACATCGTCTGCCGTTTTAGTCAACTTATCGTAACGTCATTCCGTACGGAATTTTAAACGAAAAACGTACCCTCCCCTCAATAATGTATCCAGCGACGATGGGCGCTAGAAGACCGGTTAAGTTCGCCAAGCAGTTCGTGAATGCCATCAGGATTCCAGCGAAGCGTGGTGAGATATCCAAATGGTTGACCTGCAAAATGTTTTATAATAAGTTTTAATGGGATATTTTTTGTCATTAATCTAATTTGTTGTATATTTAAATGTACAATGATAGACAAATATTAGATAATGAAGATTAATGCTAGAAACCTAAGTTTTAATCACAGGTTTAATATACCTTTACCTGCCTCATTGGTCTCGTGGCTGTTAACGCTACCGCTGATCATGAGGTCCAGGGTTCGAATCCCGGGTTGGGCCAAAAAAGTCAGTTATTGAGTTTTTCCAACAAGAAATTCTCAGTAGCGGCCAGGAGACAAGAAGTTGTCGGTGACTAAACCCTCCTCACCAGCTGTTGGTCCTGCGCCTGATCTCTCTCGGTCGTGTTGGTTTGCCGTCTTATGGGACTATGAGGGTAAGGGAATAGAGAATGCACCTGTGCTTGCGCATACACATGGGCACTATAATCGTGTTCTGCGCAGATGGCTAATTTCCGTTCAGACTGGCTACCGTGACCGAAATTCGGTCTGGAGGACATTTTTTTAAATTAAGTTTCCTACAATCGCCACCAGCGCCACCTACCGGGTTCAATAGTAAATCTAAACCACCCAGGGATCCATTCAAACACAAAAAAATCATCGAAATTGGTCGAGCCGTTTTTTAATTTTAGCGAAACTGACGGACAGCAATTGATTTATATATATATATATATATATATATATATATATATATATATATATATATATATACTAAATAAATAAATAAAGTAAAAACTAAAACTAAACTACTTATAATATATATCATCATCATTACAGCCCATCACAAGTCCACTGCTGAACATAGGCCTCCCCCAAGGTATGCCACAAAGCACGGTTCTGAGCCACTTGCATCGATCGACTTCCTGCATGTCTTACCAGCTCGCCACTCCATCTAGTGGGGGCCGCCCTACACTTCGCCTACCGGTACGAGTCTGCCACTCGAGAACCTTTTTTCCCCAACGGTTGTCGGTTATTCGAGCTATATGGGGCCCATGCCACGCAGCTAAACGTTGGGCTATGTCGGTCACTCTGGTTCTACTGCGGATATCCTCACTTCTAAGTTTATCACGCAGAGAAACTCCGAGCATAGCCTTCTCCATAGCTCGCTGAGCGACTTTGAGCGTCCTCATACGGCCAGCAGTGAAGGACCACGTCTCGGTTCCGTAGGTCATCACTGGCAACACGCACTGGTTGAACAACTTAGTTTTCAGGTTTTGAGGTATACCTGACGAGAAGATGTGTCGTAATTTCCCGAACGCTGCCCAGCCGAGTTGAATCCGTCGATTGACCTCTCAGTCGAAGTTGGACTTACCTAGTCGGACTATTTGTCCCAGGTAAACGTACTCGTCAACAACTTCGAGCTTAGTGCTCCCAACAACTACCGGCATAGGTGTGACATGGACATTAAACATGATCTTTGTTTTGTCCATGTTCATCTTAAGACCTAGCCGTTGGGAGACACTATAGTTCATAAAAGATAGCTTGATGTCTATGACAGCTGTCAGTAAAAATCACGCCTATGAAGTCCTGAATTTCTTAGTAGTACAGACAGTACCTGTCAATGTCATACTTTATGGGCATGCCGACCTAATTAGTGCATGCCCATAAATCATAAAGTATGACATTGACAGGTACTGTCTGTACTACTAAGAAATTCAGAATTTCATAGGCGTGGTTTTTACTGACAGCTGTCGCAGAGATCTTTTATGAACTATATTGAGGTCATTGAGCATAGTGCTTAAGTCCTCCAGCGATTTTGCCATAAGGACTATATCGTCGGCAAATCGAAGGTGAGTGATGTAGTCGCCATTGATGTTAATACCGTATCCTTTCCAGTCCAGTAGCTTGAAAACGTCTTCCAATGCAGCGGTGAAGAGTTTCGGGGAAATAACGTCACCCTATCTTACACCTCTCTGCAGTTGGATAGGTTCCGTACTCTCGTTCTGTACGTACTCGGATAGCCATTTTATATATATATATATATATATATATATATATATATATATATATATATATATATATATATATATATATATATATATATATGTGTATGTATAAAACTAGGAAGTTGAATAATAGATCAAATTCATGTAAATTACGCTAAGTGTAAGGTTGAAATTAAGTCAAACATTAATAAATATAAAAATTACTTCACATTTTAACGTTATAACAATAACAAACCTTAAATCCAGAGTAGATGCCACCGTTGAGACCGACACCAATCGCCAAGATGGCGACCGTCGCGGCCGCGTTGCACCCCGTGTTAGCGGCGATGAACAGACCGATAGCTGGACCGTATTCACCTGTAACAAGCTTAATAACAGTAACAAAAAAAAACATGTTTTCGTTAAAAAGTTTACTGCAAAAAAACCTTCTCTTCCCTTTTTTGTATTTGCAGATGCAATCAAATATATTATTAAAAAAATTAGTTTGTTCGTATTTTATGGGCTGCCATACCGTTGCCATACGTGTGTTCGATAAATATCGAGTATCGTTGAGCTGTAAATGTTGACATAGATGCACTATGAATACACGATATAAACAACAAATAACGTGTTTTTTTTTAGTAAAATTGTAATAAAAATATCATTATAGAAGAAATCGATGATTATACATAAATGAGTAAAGCATTACATGTGAGTAGCGGTTTGAAGCTTTGAAGTATATAAAATGATAGAAAGTCAGTGCAAACACAGACTATGAAGCAATTTAATGTTGACCTCAGTACGTAGTGTGTTCCGCGGCCCTCAGGACTGTCAACTCTGCTTTAGCTTTCTTTGTTTAAAAGTAGCAACAATTCCTTGGCCTAGTAGCCACTTACAATCATGCATTTTGCAAAATTCGGGTATGAGGTTATCTAGTATAAAACTCACCGATACTGTTGACAATCTTCCTGACTTGCGTGTGATTGAAACGACCGCTGGACAGCATCCAATCAGCAACCACTGAGATGAACATGGAGAATAACCACATGCACAGATACGGCAGGGCGGACACGAAGCCGTTCTGAAAGTAAATTGAGACTTTTTAATTGTTTCATTTACCAAGCATATTATAGTTATGTGTAGTAAAGTTGTAGTGTAGTGTAGCCCCCACGTTAATATATCGTCTCTTCTAATTTAACATCTTCCAACATTACAAGGTAATTAAGTTGGTAGAGAATGTTAAGGCATTATGTTCGCTCTTTGTAATCCCTAATTGAATAAAGTATTTGCAATAGGGAATAAAATAAAAAAATAAGTTAAGATCATAGATTATATAGTTTACCCTAAATTAATTACCCAGGTTTTAAAATACTCTTAATAATCTTGATTAATATTTTTAACAACGGGTATGCAAATGAGAATTTAGCAAGGTTTTTAAATATGATTTTTCGTAAATCACTTCATAAACCAAAATTAATTAGCTTAGTTTTTGAAACAGGGAGCTTCAATGTAGCTTACAAGATATACTTTCGTACCTTAAGTTTAAATCATCATCAAGATTATCCCATTGTCGCTGTCTCTACACCACAACAACACGTACATACAGTACCGTCTTTACCATAAGGGCACACGGGGTCCGTGCTTAGGGCCGATCCCTATCGGCACGGGGGCCTTGACATCGGCCTTATTTGCTTATGCTATACATTCTTTTTCTATTTTAGGAAAATATAAACCGATAAAAAAAATTATAGAGTAAATGAGAGCGTTGTTAGTGATTTTCTTGCAACCCCGATTATTGACAAGCCACACATTGACAATTTAGCCAGAAAACGTGGTATTGACAGGTTTCCTATGTAGTTCCGTGTTTGGCCGTCATCTTAACGTTTTTGTCGTCGTACTTTCGCCATACTTTCTTATTTACTGTTTTTTTTTTTAATTTTCGGTAATATATCTATGAGATAAAAATATCATTTCGTACTATTTAATAAAACAACAACTCAAAGATTTAACGCCAAACGATTTATTTAATATGATAATTTTCAACCACAAATATTACTGATTTCTTATTTTTACGCGAACACAACACTTTGATTAAAACTACTTTTACGGATTTTATTGCGTTTTTTTTTATTTTATTTTTAATACCCGACAATTCAGGCGCTTTCCAGCACCTATGGTCATGGGAGACTGAGTTGACTGACGTCCCGATGTCAAAGTTCACCCGGACTACCTTCAGCTTTTTAATTATTGTCTTTGGTCCGATCTGCGCAGAATGAACTGTGTTTATGCGTAAGCATCATAATAGTATGTGCTGTGTTTTGAAATCTTGCAGTGGTGGGGTTTTGGCGGGATCTTGGCTGTAGACGGATTGTCGCTCCCGTTTTGTCGCTTGAATAATGCTTTGAAGTGGATTTTGATTAGTAAAAGTGATGCGATTTTGTGGATTAAGTGTCCGCTCGTGTGAACTATTAGAGAATACGACGAAACAAGTGCTTTGATGTCGACATAAATCTCAAGTTATTTTGATCGCTTGGGCGCCTTATGAACTTGAGTGGCTGTCGTCATCAACTATCCGCTAGGTTGAGCTGTCGTCAAAACCTCCCGAGGGCTTCGCAATGTGAAGCATCAGCATATTGTGAAGAAAAAGAATATAAAATGAAGATTCCGAAAGAAATGATAGGCTCTATCATTTCTTTCGGAATCTTCAGAAGGGCTAGAACCCAGAACCGTAAAGTCAGTTAATAAAAAAATCTTGCAGTGGTATTCTTGCATAGAGATAATAATACCTATGGAGGCGCCGTATTCTACTATAGAAATAATAGTTATACAAATATCTATAACATCGACACACACTTGTCAAAAATACTTTTGTTTCTTTTTAACAAAGCAGTAGCTTCATTAGAAAAGGGAGACAACAGTTTGTCAATTGCTTATTTTGACAACACTTTCGTGTGACGTCATTAGCTCTTCCATGCGTGACTGCGTCGCCATGTTAAGTGCTGAGTTTTGTGGTAGATCTGCTGTCAAACCGTTGAATGCTAAAAGTTTTTTTTGTTGTGTAGTGCAGTGCCTTCATCTTATCTTATAGTAGGTGTATCTTCTATTTATATTTTATTATGTTACTAGATAACCACCTAAACTTGATTTGATTGTAACTCTTAATTGAGAGGCATTTCTGAGTTTTTGCAAAACTACCGTACGGCAATTGATTTTTTAAATTAAAATAATTTTGTGAACCGTAATTAAATCACGTCAAGTATTATAAATAATAATAATAATATAGTATATAATATTTGTGATGAACTATGTGCAGATAAATTAATAATAAATACGTATTGATTTTTAAAACAGTTTATTTCATTTTTACTCAACTAATCATTATTATTTTACATTAATAATATGAGATCTGGGATCACCATCCCAGTAATACTATAAACACAAAAGAAGGATTTAATTTCTATCTACACAAAAGCCGTAAATCTGTCGGTCACATTTATTCGCCAGATAAGTTATTTGACTATTGAAAATTTAGCCCTGTATCTATGTAAATACCTACAAAATAAAGTAAATTAAGCAACAAATCCAATTATATAAAATGAGAAATAATCATATTAAGTAGTTAAAATATCGGTATCAGCTGCGCATATTGCAGAGTTACAACCCTATAAAAGGCGGCCATTTTATGTGCTAGATTTTTTGTAGGTAGTCACGCTAATTTTGTAAGTATGCCCAGTCCACATACTTCTAAGTCAGTGTATTCTTGGGTTTATAGATCATAAAAGATAGCTTGATCTCTGCGACAGCTGTCAGTAAAATCACGCCTATGAAGTACTGAATTTCTTAGTAGTACAGACAGTACCTGTCAATATCATACTTTATGGGCATGCACTAATTAGGTCGGCATGTTTTTCATAGTTTTAATTTTATTAATTATTAATATATTATTAAAAATAAAATAAATAAAACGCGATAAAATCCGTAAAAGTGGTTTTAATAAACACAAATATTAGATTTTATAGCAAATATTTGTTACGATCCTTATTTTTAGACAAGTAAAGTCTAGATTTTAAAGTAAGAAATAAGAAAATTACACGTATTGATGTTGTTACAGAAAATTTTCTTTTTTTGAAAAAGTTTAGGAAGGAAACATTAAAGTTTAAATTTTCCTAAGAAATTAACGTCCCCGGTGAAATCTGTCAAATATTTTACTTCATGTAAAGTAGCGCCGCCCTGGTGACAGAAAAAGTCGTGGAGCTCTCATTAATGACATATTATTTGATTTTTACCGATTAACTATATTAAAATATAAGATCATAGCAGAAAAATGTATCTGTCATTTACTTTTTTAACTTTCCAAAAGGGCCCCAAATTCTTGTGTGGCCAAGGGCACAGTTATCTTAGTGGTCCGGCACGGAGTTAAAAAAATGCTAAAAAGCATTGTTAGTTTATTTCCTATAATTATGATCCCTAACAACCGAATCTGTCCTTATTCTAGTTTCAATTCTCGATTGCGCGATGTGATTCACCGAGTCAACGAGTTTGAACCCAACCCCTGAACTCTCGACAACACCGATGATTAATAAGACCAGACCGATGGTTTGAAATTTATTACTCTATAAATAGCCCGCTTTTCCTCTCGACTCCGGTCTTTTAGCTTTATTATATAATGCACTCTATCAATAACCACTTAAACTTTGTTGTATAATGTTTGCTTTTCCGTATTGGTGAAAAATTTAAGATGAATTAATTATAATTTAACATTAATATACAAAAAGAGCCTAAATCGAAGAAAGCACTATATCATCGTGGAGAAGGGGTCCTTATATGATTATTTTAAATATTCGCTGTTATAGTTTTGAGTGTTGCTTGTACCTAGTTGTTCAGTAATAAACCAAGCTTAATTATGTAGGTAAATTAAAAAGGACTACATTTTTTTAAATAATATTCTTCCCAAGAAAAGGTAGTTTCATTTTATATTAAAAAGGGATGAATGACCAATAGATTTTTAAATCTGTATCTATTTTATCTATTTTTTATAATAGTTGTCTATATAATATAATATAGTTGTATATATAAGAAAGTATTCCGTGCCTTCTGACTCCGCATCATTCATTCTATTCTATCGGATCTCTTTCCCACATGCGTAAATTTATCATTCGCTTCAGGGAAGGCTAACAGGATTTTAGTCAGTGCGAATCCTACGTGTCTCGTCCAAAATGCCCCCGTAGTGCGGATATGTGTAGACCATTTCCATGAAAAAAAAAAGCGTCGACTATCGATATTAACTATTTGTGATCGGATTGATTAATATAGTGATAATACGCTTTTAATCATAAGCCTGTTATCACTTTATGTTGATTTGTTTCTTTTAATGTGGTAGTGTGCTTTACATCAAAGGGCTACAACAACAATAACTATCACTTAGGATTGCAGCCTAAGTCAAACATTAGAATTATTGACATTAAGTTGTATATTACATATCTATTTCGCTTAGGGATGCATCCGATACCGATACCGATGTCGATATATCGACGATATTCGAAGTCAGTCGATATATCGGCATCGGCGATATTTTTGGACCGATTTAACGATACTTTACAAATTTCGCGCCTCAAAAAAGTTATGTAAATGAGCGTGTTCTCTCGTCTATTTCGTTGCAAACGAAACTGTTTATAGTTTGAAACGGTTTTATTTAGTTTGTCCTGTTATTTGTTATTTTATATTATTTAAAAAAATAACCTGACTAGTGTTTTATTTATGTTACCCTCATTATTGAATTCAATAATACCATATCGGTATCGGTATCGCCGATATTTTTATAAGAGCATCGGTATCGGTATTCGTATCGGCAAAAAGGCGTATCGATACATTCTTAATTTCATTAAGAGGAGTAATAATTTAATGCTAAAACTAGGATGGTAAAAATGTTTTTCTCTGTTTCAAATCCATAATTGTTCTTTGTCTTACATTGACTAATGAAGTCGTGTACTTACGTCCTTTATCGAGAAATGCAGGACTTGTTTCATGAAGGTCGGCAACTGGGTCATGAGAGTCTCGTAGCCGTAGTTCTGTCCCATGTGCGCCAACATGATGGCCCAGAACGGCATCGACAGCAGGATCTTGCTCCACGGGATCGGTGGCGACTGACGGTTTAAATTTGATACTTCAGTAAGTTGTGTGGAACATCGATTATAAATTGAAAATTTGAAAAAAAATCAAAAAAATACAACTTGTTTTATAAAGTCTCGTATTTTGTTATTGGTACACTCATTCCTCCCATTGGATTTCCTGGTCCTGCGTATATAAGAACTTAAAGTTAACGTACTGTTGATGAAGTCAGCAGTCAGTCATTATAGTGAGGATATAGGCTTTTCACTCACCAATCCGACAGTTCCTGGGTGTTGAATATGAATTTAAAAACTTCTTATTAATTGTTGGCAGTTTACTAATATAGTTTTTTTAATAGTTAAGTATTATCCATGGTTGCCTTCGCTGATAAGACATTATAATCATTATGATTCCGCATCTTAAAACTGTAACCTAAATATCTTCTTTATCAGCCAATAAATTCTATAGTTGGACGTTTGCCTCTCTCTAGGGAAGGTTTGCTATGAATGTAACGCTTGGTAACCAGGTTAACGATCGTAGTACAACACGTCTCGCAACTTTAAAACTGCTATCCGTCGCTAGAATCTAGCTATAATGTAAATATAATCCCTGATTATTGACCTATGGTACCTCAAGACTCACGTACAAGATGCCCAATAAAATTTCCATGGTAGCGGGTACTCCAGTCACGATCGCCACCGCCACAACTGAAGTTTTTAGTGGCTGATTTACCACGTGCTCGGCGGTGACGAAAAATCTCGAGGATGTTTGAAGAATAAAATACATTTCGAAGATATGTTGCTTCCGTCGAAACAGTAACACGAAAATAACATGGCAAATTTTTATTACCCCATATATCGCAATAATAAAATGAGGGTACTTTGATAATATTTTGTAAATTTGTATGATACTCACGCTTGATCCAGCGGCACCCCACAACGAGTTAAGTATGTACTTCTTCTCGGTCTCCTTGATGCTAGGACATGATTCAGGATCCTCGGAGACGAAGAACAAGAAGGCAAGGCACCATATTGTGCCAATCAGACCGAACACGTAAAAGATGGACGGCCAACCACCAGAAAAGCCGTATGCGGACAGCAGACCCGAAAGTGGCATGGATATTACTGTGCCGAACTGTGCTCCTGCAAAGAACAACATGCCCTGTTCAGTTTTACAAGATGGTGTTCAGTCTAACGAAATTTTTGCTTACAAATGTGCAATACAATATAACATGTAATAATATTAATTAAATATGCAAACCTTAAATTAGATAGGTAGATAGAAAGAAACTCTTCATTACAAAAATATTTTTGTAGAAAGGTGAACTTAATGCCATAATAGCGTTCTAATTTAACAACAACTGCCAGCTAACCTTTGTTGTTAAATTAGTAAAAAATTAAGATTTTATTGACGACACTACCAAACTCATTTCAGTATGAAAATACTAGCAGATGTATGAATATAACAGAATACCGGGAACTTACCGGCATATACAGCTGCTCCCATCCGACTTCTCTCGTTCGGTGGGATCCATTTTGCCAACATAGCATGAGAACACGGCACGATTGGTCCCTAAGCATATAAAATATATTAATAATTTATTACCACCTATTTAATAAGGCATTAAAATCAAGAAACAAAATTTAATATTTTTTGATATTATAACGATTTAATATACGGATATATAATCTCTTACCTCCCCTAAACCCTGTATGAAACGCACTAATATGAGCCACTCGTAACCAGCCTCAGCGGCTAGGGGCACCAAAAATGCGAATACTGAATTGATCAACATGCCCACGCCGAGAAAGAGCCGAGCGCCATACCTAAATAAGCAAAGGTGTTTCATTAAAAAAAAATAAAAAAACATTCCTATCAATATTATTTGTAGAAGACCTAAGAATTAATCATTATTACGAATATATTATGAAAGCCAAAAAATCAACTTACCTTTTAGAGAGGATGCCGAAAGGAATTTGCGTGATAACGTAGCCGTAGAAAAAAGACGAAAGAATGTATCCCTGTAGCGTTGAACTCCACACAAATGAGCCATCTTGGGAAGAGGTATCCTAAAACAAATTTCAAGGTCTAAAACATATCTTTTCTTTTGAGCAATATTAAAATGTATGTCAAACTGAAAAAAAAAACGAGACATCACTTTACTAATATGAAACTGACATCACGTTTGAAAATTTATCTTAAATATAAATAACTACAAGAGCATAACCTAAAAACCTACAAGACTGTAGTGAAAGGTGTTTTAATATTGCAAATTCAAAATACATTCAAATAAAAAAAAAACTTTAAAAAGAAAAAATTGCAAACCTAAAGGTTTTCGCCACAGTACTTACAACAGTTTTATTAGGGTCCACACTACCACACTCTGTGTCAACTGCTTCTTTGTCGACTGGCAGGGCGGTGTGGTTGACCATTGCCACGATGGCGACAGACATATTGGTCCTCATGACGTACGCATTCGCCATGCCCAGGAAGAGCATGAACGTCACCCAGTGTCGAGTGCCGAGACCACCTGCTAACCAAAAAATTTTTTGATAAGTCTTAATCTATTTTTATCATAAATTGACGTGTGCCCAAAAATTGTTAGAAAAAATAAGGCCCTAAGCTCCTATTTTACGTTATGGTAGTTAAAATAAATTTCGTCGTTCATTAAATACACCGTTGCAAGACTTTATAGAAGTAAAAAGAATTAAAAATTTCACATTCTGAAGTTGGTTTAGACATTAGAATAATTATTAAAGCCCCGACTTCTGAATTTGAAGTTATTTTATTCGTTTTAGTTTTTTAGATTAGTGTTTTATTTTTTTTATGTAATTTTTACTAACTCTTTTGACCACAATCTCAATTTCCTATTGTGCCAACCTTGAGGTCGGAATTTTATCTCCAAATTTACATACTTAGTATAGTATAGCACCCCAAGTATAAACCAATTTCGCGTAACATACAAAAAACAAACTCTCGAAACGAGATTCCTCCTTATTTTCTTGTAGTCAGCTAATTAAAATTAAATAAAATACGAATGAAATTATTTTTGCCAAAATCGATCTAGAGAGATAAGCAGCGATGACATAACAAATTAACCTCTTTATGCAACTAATATCTAATCCTCTTGTTTTGCAGTAGTTGATTAAAAATAGATAAGCACTTTGAAGGTAAAAGTTTTAATGAATTTATATGAAGTTCATTGTAACTTATTTACTAAAGTAAGAATAGCTCTACCTAACTTCTTGTTTTCTGTTTTGCAATTATGACCTGCATGGTTAAATAAAACCTTCCATTTCCTAGGGCTACCATAAGCAACACGCAACACTGGCACTTGCAGGCAATATTTTTTTATATAGGACAGGGTGACAAACTAGCACATAGTCCACCTGATGGTAAGTGGTTTCTGTGGTCCATAGACATCTACATCTATCCTCGATTACGAATCAAAATGCAGATGCGTTGTCACCCGTGAGGAATAAGATGGAATGCCTCGTTTCCAGTAAAAAGGGTCTCCGGTTCTCTACAATCACCATACTAAACACAGCAGCATTAAGCTACTATTTTACGCTGGTATTCTGTGAGCACGCTCTCACATTCCTACGTCCTTCCCCGGTCGAGCCGACCCATTCGTGCTACAACTACCGTACTACCTCTAATATAACTGCAGCACGGCTCTGCCGCGTATAAAATATAAAATTGTAAGTGCTGAGACGCGGAAAAAGACATAAAACTGAACACCAATAGAACAACTTGGTAACTAATTGATTGTTTTATTAAGGTTTTTCATATTATATAAACTTCATAATTAATATTACTGTGTAACTAAATATCGTATCCGTTACCGTTACTGGCTACGAAACGTTCACTGATGAACATAGACCTCCACCATAGATGCCTCATAGGGAGATATGTGTCATACTTTCTACGCTTGACAGGCAGTTTTTATTTTTAAGTTGGTAATAGGAAGACGGAGCTGTCCATATCCTGGTATTTTCCTTCTGTTGCCTGTTAAGACATCCCCGGGAAATATAAGGTATAGCAGATATTCTTACACCGCCGCGCCGAACCGCTACACTACAGTCTGCAGTAGTTAGACTGTGACTGCACGGTCAGATAACAAAATAAAAACATTTATATAATTATCTCATAGGTCAGTTAACTAGATCAATACTCGTAAAAAGAAACCGATAATAATAAAGCACTAAACAAAGTAAGTGAAATGAAATCCTATTAATCATATAAATCCTATTAATTCAAATAATATTACAGATATCATCCTCTTGTAGATAGTATCTTTAAGATAACGGATAGTAAATGTGAATTCATACGAGTAAATATGGAAACGGACAATACGATTCTAAGGAAATGTAACCTGCTAACTCACTAACGAGGCGCTGGCAATTTTTTATTATTATTATTATTTAGGGGTATAAATCTCATCTGGTCGAGCTGAATAAATATATAAAAGGAAATGACAAATATCCGTAAATATATATTTCATATACTAACATAAATAAATAAATAATACATAAATAAAGATTTTTGGCTTGTATGCTTGTGTTTTAAGCCATATTTTCGGTATCTTTGATTATGTAGATTTTTTCTTCACAATATGCTGATATTGAGATGTATTTGGGAGATTTTGACGACAACTCAACCCAGCGGACAGTCGATGATAGTAAATCAAGTTCTGAAGCAACTAAGCGAACAAAATAACTTTAGATTTATATTATCATCAAAGCACTTGTTTCGTCGTTTCCACTAATATATCACATGCGTGGACACTTAATGCACAAAATCGCATCACTTTTACGTATCCAACATCCACCACTAACTATTATTGAAACGATAAAACAGGAGCAACGTCAACGAGCAGGAGCGAGTCAAATTGCCGCCAAAACTCGAGGCGCTGGCAAAAAACCCCAATGTGATAGATTGTTGCTTGATTAGTGGCATAGCAGCATATGAGTTTAACAGCGAGCAGGCTGCACTCACCAATGCTGACTAATGTGGATGTAGAAAGGAAAATTTGAACTTCAAAACTTCATTTTCAATATTTTACTTATAGTGCAGTAAAGTATTAGAAAATTTCTTTAAAATTATTAATGTATATAATAGAAAATAAACAAAAAAGGTATATCTAACATTTGAGAAGCTAACCTGCGTTCTAAAATGTTTGTTCGTTATAGATAAAATATAGAAAATTTAATCTAGATGCGGATATTTATTCCGAGAACATAAACAAACCTTTTCCCAACAACCTTTAAGCGACAGTAGCCTAATGGCAGGGCGCGGACCGCGAAGTCAAAAAGGTCGTGGGTTCCGCTATTCGACTATTCGCGTGAACCACTCGTAACACTAGCAATTTAAGCTTATCATGAGTGGTTAAGGGGAATATTAATAATGTTTATAGCATTTTTAATATTCTTTAAAAAAAAACTACATTAATGTGTTATGTTGAAAAAACTAAAATTTCCAAATGCATTTGATCACCGCCAACATTCTAACGTTGGCAATATTCTACAAAACCAACTTTATAGCTTGCTTCTAAAATAGTTTCAAAAAATTTCTTGATTTATTACTGCAATTTAAGTTGGTTGTAAATTTCGCCCACATCACAAGCAAATAATAACGATAGCGTATGTTTTCACTTTAAATATTGCAGCGGGCATACCTATTGGACAGCATTTTGTTTATCGGTACCTCAATGACATATAGTTTTTTTTTCATAAATCAACCTGAATAAGTCCTGCTTGATATAGCTACTATTTTTTTTTTAGTAAACAGTAGATGAATGTACTACCATCTAACAGAGACGATAGAGATTATATGTGATGGTGGACTCTTTTTTAATATCACTTTATTTTATTCACGATAGATCATAGTGACGATGTGTTTTTTTGACTACAAAAATGAATTTTCAATTATTTCATACTGGCAAATATGCTTACAAATAGTTAAAAAGCTGGTCACTTTTAGTAACGTGTTAGATACCAAGCTGCAATTTTCATTAGTTAGGTCAATGTAATATTAGTTAAATCAGAAAATCACGACCGAAAAACGCTTGGCGCGATTGTAACATTATTTTTATATTACCTCTAAATTAATAAATATAAGTAATAAGATGGTTTTATAGTTATTTGTTAGTACATACTTTTACAAGCCGGACATTTAAATAAATGTATTTTTATTTATAGGTACATCTTTATACATACAAAAAACAAGATTTTTAATAATTCTCAGGTCATTTTATTTTTTATTTGGTACTTTTCGAAACAGGATAACTTCTGCTCTATATCCCCTTATATTATATTAAGTCGCGTCGGAACATAATATGACTCGCCTTCCTACACTGCCTAACTCCACCTGCGCAACGACCCCAGAAGTGGATTCGGTCTATGATCTACCAAGTTTCCCCGATGGATGTCACAAATTACAGGTACTTCAATCCCACGTGAGTTTTCCTGACAAAATTTTATTAGCTTTTTAATAAATTTCCTGACTTTGACGAGGAGGCAGCAAAAGTATCTAATTAACTATAAAAAAACTCGCGCATGTACTTGACATATGCTCAATATTCAGCAATAAAAAGTACGATCCGGATCAGATGAATGAAACAATGTTATTGTTGAGATTTGATTCATTTATTATTATTTTTTGTGATTAAACTGTTTAAGAAATATTTTCATTTGTATTTCCTATATTTTTCTCTTTCTATTTATAAATTCCTAAGATTTTCAAATTTTCCCTGTTTCCCTAAGAGAGGGCTAAAATTCCGGACATGTCCGGAAAATTCCTGTCATCTGATAACCCTATTCCCACGTGACCGCACAACCATCGCATTGGGTGCGTTTGGCAGAAAAAAGCGCTAGCAAGCGCTTATAAGCGCTGAAATAATTTTCGGCCAGGACACGATTGCTACTTCAGTAGCGCTGACACAATCCGCCATTTTGCTTATTTAATTCGTTTGTTTTGAAGTAGAATTTATAAGTTGTTTTGTGCAATAATAGTTTTAAGTAATATAATGACATGAATAAACATATATGTACATGTTATTAAAAATTCATGATTGGTAAGTTTTTTAATATATTTAAATTAGGTTAGGTTCCCCGGTTAAAACTAACATCGTGTCCTGGAGGAAAATAGCTACTTACGATTTAACAGCGCTTACCGCTTACGATCGCCATTTTGCTTACAAGCGCTTGCTAGCGCTTTTTTCTGCCAAACGCACCCAATATCATGTTGAAGGATAAGATTGGTAACGCCTCGCCATATCAATACTCCTTTTTACCCCGCGACTTCACTTTGGCTACTGCTGGCAAGGTAGAAGCCTCGGGACAGTAGTGTATGAGTTTAACTTTGTTCACCGTGGGTGACCAAACTGTGACTACTAGCCTCCGCCCACTCGCCACAGCATAAGCGAGAAATTTAAAAAAAAAATATAATTTTAAGTTTCAGATCACTATTCCTATATCATATTATGTAATGTGAAATGGTATTACTTCGAAGTTGGCAAAACTTTGGTTT